ATAGGGTAATGAACACAAAATCAAGACAATCCATAATGGGTTCTAGAAATTTCCTTTTCATAGTGAGTTTCAAGATTACGACCTCTTCCTCCCCAGTTCAGTTTTTCGATGCTGAGAAAATTTTTAGTTGTTACTAGCATCGTTTATCAAGTCCATCTAATTTTCAACATGCGGCAAAGCGTTTGATCTTTCAGTCTTCAATTTTCCATACAGCTTACGAAATGTCTCCCCTTTTGAACGGCTTTTTCCTAACCGGCATTTGAAATGTCATTTAGCTATCCATAATGTTACGATGCTAAGCCAGATGTGATGCACTGCTCAGAAATGTTCCCTCCATTGAACACTGCGATGATCTTGCATCAAGAAGTGCGTTTCTCATGGAAGTCATCTTGTTTAGATTTAGTCAAAAACCGACCTTTGGAAAGACACCTTTGAAATCGAGTTCTGCCATACTAAATAAAGAGTAGAGTAAGTGAAAGATGCACGGAACCTATAACATCACTAGAAAGGCTTCATTCATTGCGGCTAGGTGTTCTTACCTTGGAAGAGCGGTGTTCGGCGAACCTTCATCTCCACAACAAGGTCTCCCTACCTGGGGAATGGGTCTAACATTTCCATTTGAAAGCACATCTGACGGTAAAATTTTGCCACCATAGTCTAGCGAGCGGCAAGAATGATGAAGAAAGCGTATTGCACCAAAGGTGTGACGCTCTTCGTATGCTTCAAGAAAGTGGGGCACATTGAGCTGATGTGCATGAAATGAGGGAAAACAGAGTTTACTAGAACCCAATCGACTTTTCGATGATTATCCGAACAACAGATGATTCGTTTGATACAGGTGATAATCACCTTGAAGTGAGTTTCGCATGTTTTGCTCAACACTACGTCAGTAATAAGGTAGAACGGTTAACAGCTGATGTGGAGATGAGAGATAAGCACGAACAAAATTCCCTTACGTCCCAATTTTCTAACAGCATTAAAAAAATGAGTAGCAATAGGAACAATTCAAATTCGCTGAAACTTTTTAAATTGAATTGTTTTACACGACCCGTTATTTACATCTACTCTGCGGATTCCAGCACTTCCCTCATTCGATTCGCCTCCTCGCATTCCAGAAGGTCTTCCAACGCTTGCGTGTGGATTCAACTGCTGCTTGAGATTTTTCTTCTCTTCATGATTTCCGTTGTTTACTGGTCGAGTCAATTCTCCATGTTGTCCTGAAATAACAGGACTAGAGACTAGAGAGTTATTATTTGGAATGCAAAGAGCAAATTTTTTTCCATGCAAGTCTGATAGCAACTGCCGACCCAGGAGGGATAAGAGGACTGGTGGGTTCAGTGCGGCGTCGAACTAGCACCGTGCTCGAGATGATCGGTGTTATATTTCGCTATTGTTTGTAAAATACGAAGTGAATTATAAGCTTTCCGGAGCATATCTAGAGACTACATCGTTTTATCGATTCTTGGATAATTTTAATTTATCATTTACAGCGTACTCTTTTTAATGGCAGGGTATATTGCGAAATATAACTTCAATGACGCTAAGATATTAGCAAAACTCCGGACCCCCGTTGTCTGCTGGGTAGAACGAACGCGACAATGCACTTTCCGGGGAGTAACGCACTCACCACCACACTATGCGGGTCCTTCGTTTCGCCTCTCTCAGCTAGTTCTATCGATCTCTGCCATCAGCAATCACCCATGAGCGGGATTGACCTGGGAGTTATCTCAGCATCATTGAAGATTCTTGGATATGTTCAGAATGTTCGGGATGGAACTTGACAAATCTTCTCCGAAAGGTGGAAAATTTCATTCAGTTTCCCTAAATCGAGAGCAACACATGGTGTGAGATCTTCGAGAAACGAGCCCACCTTTAACGTCTTTTGTTAGAAGTTTCTCAAGCATACAAAGAACTTTTCAAGACGAAAGTCCTACTCGGCCAAGGCGGTATAAGAAATGTTTCTAAAGAACTGAAAGTTTCCATTTTTCTTCGAATTTCAACCCTCCTTTCAATTATGTTTTAGTTCAACTCAAATTGTTAATACAGTGCTAACTAATTACAGGGACATTCTAATCCAACTCTTTTCAATGATTAGGAAACTAAGGAGCGCCTGACCGAAGATCACGAGTTCATGAAAGAAGGACGTAGAACTTTTGTCGTAGTTCTTCAAACAAGCAGTTGGTATCACTCCTCACTACCACCAAGAAGTTGCTCGAAGTGAGAAAGAGTTTCACCGTATTGTTACGTATCTAAAACAGCTGGTAATAAATGCCAGTCGTAGGAGTTCATAGCATGACGAACATCGAAACAGGCAAAAAGGCTGTTGAAAGCAGCTCATGAAAGAACACCTTTGAGAGGGCACCTGGGAATAAAACGACCCAAAATTCTTCCTACTGCAGTTAGAGCTGCAATGAAGGGCATGAAAACAAGCATAGCTTGGAGACGCAACATAATTACAATAGACTTCATTCGAACTCGAAGCCACGAAGTAGATTTGCCTTATGTAATCCATAAGGCAATTTACGTTTAGTAGGAAAAAAAACCCCAGACCTCGCACAGAGCCATCTAGTTCATGAATTGTTACCGAATGGATCTTCACAACTCCCGTCCAATTTGCTAGCCAACTATTCTCTGCAAACTCTTGGCAAAGATTATCCTGTTTCTCATATCAAGAACATTGCATAAATATAACCACAATGATGCTTAGATATGTGCAAAACTTGAAACATCAGTTGCACTTCGAAATCGCGATTACCCGTCCCGTTCACGGGTACTAGCAGATAGCAGCGTTAGGATAAAAAACTGACCGAGAGAAAGCAAACCAAGGGACTCTATTGGTGCAATGGACAATACGTGAGCCCTGGAAACCGTAATCGCGGGTTCGAGGACCACCTGAGTTACCTTGTTTTGCTTATATCTCATGATTTTTGTGGTTGTATTTCACATAATATCTTGCCTTGAGAAAAAAAAGGCAGTAAGTAGATGTCAAAACATTGGATAAAGTCCAACAAATTTCGGAAACCGTCCGATAGGGATTCTGCTACGCAGACTGCGTACTAACCATATCTAGGGTGTCGGGAATCCTATCTGTCTTTATTTTAACCTTTGTAGTTAACGAAGACATATTTTACGATGTTAGAAAGAATACAATCTTATCACAGGTCATAGACAAAGGAATAGGTGAATAGATCCTACGTGAGAACTCTGGTTGACTATGTAGACCACTTTGAGCTCGTACAATAGAACACCATGATGGAACGCTAAGAATGCAAACAAGATATCCCACTAGGTGCACATAGTACACGAAGCCGAAAGCAAATGAAAGTGTAAGATCTCGTCCTCCGTCCATTTTATCCGTGCGATGGATACCTTTGAATTTGAAAGAAGCCACAGGAATTATTTCATAAATTCATAAAGTGCTGAACTTTTGGAATACTCAAGCGATCGAGGAATCATCGTCTGCTGCCGGAAAACGAGTTACTTCACCGAACGATCAAAGGTAAAAACGGAATTGACGGCATTGCGAGTGGCCGAGTGCCAGAGTGGTGGTGGTTCATGGCAATGGCTCACTGCTAGCTATGGTTCCAGAAATGCCTAGATTTAGCACTTCACTCCTCTTCCACAATGAGAATATAATTTTGCAGGAATTTATAAGGGAAACAAAATTTAATAGTCCGTAGTAGACGTTCCTAAGTTATATTTCGAAACCGACCATCCCTAAACCTCGGTGTGACTAATCAATATGTATTCTTTCTTGATAAGCTTGCACGAGGTTGATAAATATATTTATTTTCGGCTAACGTTTCGACGTCTTCGTCTTCCTCAGAGCCGGTGATCCGAGTCGATGGTCCATGCTTGTTGTTCGCCTCGACATTGCGTCTTCGCCTTCGTGTCGAGCCAGTTCCTAAGTTAATTTTGTTGTCATCTAATGAGTGGAATGCGGATGACTTCTGTTAAGTGGCATCCAATGTCTCACGTAGTCGTGAATGCAGCTTTACGCACTATGAAGCGAAATGGAAGTGATGGAAAGGTGAAACATTGCTTTCTCTCAGTATCGGTATCACCTATGTCACCTGCAACTGTCGCCCCCTCGAACGCCGTGCGACTCGAGCAGGCATCAGTAAATTTTCTATATGTCCGTGTTGTAGGCAAGAGTAACCCAATGGGTTTACCACTCTCTGAGGTCTTGCAGATTATCATGCTTTCTTCCAGGATGCTCGTGGTCAACCCTGACCATCGGGTGAGCTTCCCGCTGTGGGTTTGACATACCGAGGAATCCAGTCGCCGACAGATCCTTCCCTCCGGTTGTCGTCCAGATGCATTACGTGGCTGGCTCACTTTCCATACACCGTTACACACAAGAAATGTGCACTCGAACTCGTACGAACACAATGACCACCAACCACCTTTCAGTTTCCCTAAACAGGGCAATTGCTGTAGACACGTACAACACATCTAATACCACGTCTCGAGGTGAAACGCGTGGCGCTACCACGAAATTGGCAGAGACGTTTGAAACGAAGTGATTTCCCGGCTTCAGCCATGAGCTCCTTCCCCAATGCGGGCCGCCTCGGCGGTGGTCTTCCTGGGACCAGAGTTTAGGCTATTATAGATTCGTTGGCGCATGGCGCAGTGGTCGGAGACACCCTGCAACACATATGGGGTCGATCCCCACGGCCGTGGTCCACCAAGCCCTCCATCTCTCCGGAGTCGGCAAATTGGTATCAGCCTTGTTTGGGAGGATAGCAGCACTGGTTGGGTATATCGGTAGACCACCACGAGTCATTGTGGAGGTCAGATATGCATTCAATCACCTTCAACGATGCTTAATGAAGTCGAATGCGTGCCGCATACCTCGCGGATTGATCAAAGCAGGATGCTTAATCCTTCCTGTTTTTATGGATTCATAAGTTACTGCTTCGTACTTGTTTTCCGAACACTTGGATTTCGCAGATGCTTTTTAATCATTTTATAACCTCCTTTTATAGTTATAGTGGATCATGCAGGTGGACAGATCTCAGCGTTCCGTCTTCGGTGAGTGCTTTTTACCATCTACAAAGTACTTTTGCACTTGTTTATTTATTGGTTTGTGTGTTTCAGTGGGAAACATCTCCTATGAAGTTCCAGAAGACACAATTCGTCAAATCTTTTCGAAAGTTCGTGAGCAGTCTTTCCATTCTTTGCATATCCATGTAAGGATGTCATGGGAAATTGTTTATTCTAGGTAGGTCACGTTGTCCACATTAAAATGGTTCACGACCGTGAAACAGGTAAACCGAAGGGTTACGGTTTTATTGAATTTCTCGATGTGCAGACGGCGGAACTGGCTATCAGAAACCTGAATGGGTTAGTTCAAACGTATTCATGGTTCATTTCTCTTATGATTCCAGATTTATTTTGGAACGAATTTGGTAATATCTTTTGGAACTGAATCCAGTTTGTATAGTTTATATAGTTTTTTGCTGATGCGTACAGGAATCAGGTTCAGGTATGAAGTGAACGGACGACAACTTCGGGTGGATAGTGCGGCAGGGGGAGATCGGAGCGTTGATGAGATTCAGCAGTTGCAAGCTGCTCTGAGTGCTGCTCAGGTCGAAGAGAGCCCGTATGGTCCGGAACCAGAAGAAGGTCGTGCACCCGAGGTTATTTTCAACATGTTTTGTTATTATCATACGCTTAAAATGCTTACTTGGATACTTGGATGACCCGTCCTCACTGGTTGTGCGGGCCTCAGCATAATCGCCATTTTTCGGAGTTTTCCTTGTTTAGCCATAGTATTTTCCTGCAGTCCCGGGGTCAGCCCTTCTGAATTCTGTCCCACGACACCACCAGAGCTGGTCACGGCTGTTGTGGATCAGAGGGAGATTTGCCACCATGCGACTAGTTTGACAAAATGGTGGTGGATCCTGTTAGCTGGACTACCTGGTGGAAATGCCGGAGTCTTCAGCTTATGGGACTCTGCTGTGCATTGCAGCCCGACTCCCAGGAACACCTTGCAGCCGCGATGAGGCGGTAAACAATTTGGAGGTTACTTGTTCCGTAGTTAAAATAAGAATTAGATAGTTTTGCTTGCAAGTGAATCTTGCTTAGATGGATAATATTATGTTTTGTCTTACGTTTGTCAGAATTATACGGTAGGTAATAATACTTACCTTCTGATCTGCGCATCTCTGTTGCGTGTTTTCTAGTTTATGCCGAAATATCCAATCCGAATTTTATCATAATGTTTCAGTCTTTTTTAGTTCTTACCTGTTTTTAGCAATATCGTTTGTACACTGTGTGCATTCTATCCAATATCTTCCCTAAAACCTAAACTTCAGAAATGTTCACTTTTATTGTTTGTCGCTGGTTTGTGAATTGTTTTTAAGGCTATCTCTAGAACTGTGGCCTCTCTTCCTCCAGAGAAAATGTTCGAGTTAATGAAGCAAATGAAGGACGTGGTTCGTTCAAATCCCAGCGAAGCGAAGCAAATGCTAATTCAGAATCCTCAACTTGCCTATGCGCTTCTACAGGTAATTGAAAATGAAGAACACCGCATGCAACATGAAGTCCGTTAGCTTTACTTTCTGGTAAGACGGTGGCCACAGGCAGTTTGTCGGAATCTTTCGGATAGAATACGAAAATCTTTGGGCACGAAACTGGCTTCCATGTTTTTTCTCGTATTTCAGGAAAAGACACCATACTGTTTAATTTTCAGGCTCAGGTTGTTATGCGTATTGTAGATCCCCAAGTAGCCATTGCAATGCTTCATCGAGAACCTGCTGCTTCAACTGTTCCTTTTCATCAGGTTTCTTTTCCAGCGCAGCGTGAGTTTGTAGATTCCATGTTGAAAATGCTTCCGATATTCATAACTTTGCTTGTTTTATGCATTGTAATGGAAGTTTGATTGACAATTAACCTTTTCCAAATTCGTTATTCAATGTTGTGTGATTATTCTCTTACCACCTTAGCGCTCATGTTTCAATTTATAGAGAAGGTGAAAGCCCGTCAGATTTTTATTGAAATAGCAGAGCCATATTAATTTGGTGGATTATTTGGCTACCTATGGAGAGAAATTGGGTGCCGTTATGTTCATTAACTCCAATTATGATTCGGCACCATGTGTATATGTATATGTATATACATATAAGTTACATATACATATGCATGTGTATACACATGTATATATGCACATACATATATATATGTATATATATATATGTATATATATATATATGTATATATATATATATATATATACGTATATATATAAGCGTTCTTTCCCGGTAAAAGTGACAACAGGTTATTTCTGGTTATTGATTTGAGATGCAGAGTGGAACGTCAGCAATAAAATATGTCCACATAGAAAAAAACGACGTTCTCCACGAAACCAGGATACTCAGTTGGTAGTAAGGTCAGAAGTCAACATTACCAGTTTCTCTTGTCATCTACTTGGTTAGCATTAGCCATTAAGTATCAGTATCTGCTTTGAATCTCTAAAGCGGCGAAAGGTTGAAATCTCTCGTATGCTCTAGCCCAATATTTAAGGGTCCCAGTGAGCCTAAAGGATATCCGGAAGTGTGGAAGCAAATTGCATCTTACTTTTTCTATGAACTTTACAATGTGACGTTTGAAAATCGTAACATTTCTTAATGATTGTTGCGGGGTGGTTATATCTACTTATGAACGACCGTAGAATGGTACGATTTAACAGGTCTCATTAGTGATACTTTTTTATTGGTCTAATAGATCACTGTTTATTTTTTGCCATCGTGTTTTCTTGTTTAGCCACTTCATCAGTAGCTCCAGTTCCACAACCTGGCTACGGTGTACCTCAGCAGATGTATGGACGACCTCCTACTTCGCAACCGCAAGTAGTTAACTTTCTGTTTTTCATTGGATCTACTATAATATATGAACTCAAAACTTTAGCCTCCACCACAGCCTGATATTACTCCCGACGAGCAACACAATGCGGAGCTGCTAGTGCAAGTAATGCGACTCACTGAAGCAGAAATTGCGATGTTGCCACCTGGCGATAGAGAAAAAGTCATTGAGTTGCGTAATCAGCTGCGCCAAAGTGTATAAATTTCGCAATGGTCCTGATTTACATATCGTTCGTACTTTATTTTGTTCTTTCTTTCCACTGTGGTGGACCGAAGATGAGCTATGAGCTGATTGAATTGTTTCGTGAGAAATCGTTTGTTTGATTTGTTATAGTTTAAGCGACTCGTTACTAAGAGCTTCCATCTTATCGTTTCTTAAACACGATAACAGCTTCAGTGGAATTTACGTAAAGCAATCAGTAGTGCTCGTTCTACAACAACTACGTTCAAGTATAACTGGTATTTCCATTAAAACTTTATTATAGTGTGCATAAGCAACTTTTTTTTAAAATTTTACCGAACTGAATACAAGTTAACTTTGGGGTAACAGTAATCAAAAACCAAACCGTTTTAAGATTGAATTTGGGAAGCTCGAAAATAGCTCAAAAATGGCACAGAATTAGCTTTTGCAATGTATCAACGTTATGACAAGTTTTAATAAGAAATATTTACATATATTCACGATTATCTAGGGAGAACCCTGTTTGTATAAAAAAATAATGATACGTAGCCTACTATCCGCAATCATGTTGTACCCTTACGTGGTATTTTAGCGCTTAACGCTCGAGATGCATTGGTTTCAATGCACTTCCTTTTCAGTCGTTTACTTTGTTACACAGTTGTAGCGCCTTTTGTGTTTAATCGGTGGTTTATTCAGCGCAAACGTACCAATGGTCCTTCATAAAAGGTTGTTTCCAACATTTAATAAGTGATAACAAAGCAATTACGGACGAGTTCGTTTCGTGACGAGAGATCGCTATTGTTGAGAGTGCCCACTGCACAGACCACTGTAGGCGACATGAACTGCAGAAATGTCTCTTCTGATGTACTTGAACACTGATATTTGACACTTTGGGACAGCTTTTCGTTGTGATAAAATGGTGAGTCATTGGAGAGACTTCGGGTAGCTCGATGTTCACAATGTGCTCTCATTATTGTTAATTAAAACATTATTTAGAGAACGTTATTAATTCTTGTCACCACTCATCACCTACTAACGTTCCGAGTATTGTGTTCAGTAACATCATATATCTTATAGCCCAGAAACATTTTTCTAGGTTCGGTGAGCCTAGGGCGAGGGGACCGACCCCATGTGTATTGCAGTGGGCCCCCGACCACAGCTTTACACGCTTGCTACGTCCTACAATTTATACATACAATCTACGTATTCAACATAGTAAACACTTACATATTTAGTTTGCAATTCTCTACATGATTCCAGTTTTCCGTGATTGTAAGTTTCGGTAGCCTCTGGCCTTAAGGAAGGAGGGAAGAAGGTCAGGTCAATAAACCTTACTTGTAAGACTTGATTGTCAACTATCAGATTTAGACCTGTTGTGTTTCAACAGTAATATGATAGGATAGTAGACTGTAGTAATACGTAGTCAGACGTATGGCACTACAGTAATTGAACAAGATCCGTCCTCCTGCCTACTATCATTCTCGATTCCGCAACTCCTCTAGGTGTCGAGAAACTAAATCCTTTTGTCGACGAGCCAATACTGTTTCTCCGAATGACACCTGCATTATTGTTATCACTGGTTCATAGTGTTAACCTTAGCAGGCTACCTTTACTGAACTTCTTAATGCAAAGATAGCTCCATCTTATTAGCGTCTGTAGAAAAACCGGGAAAGGGTCTTCATGGAGCACTATGTACATTGACGGTAGCATACGTAAAAATCCAACTTAGTGGCAAGTGGAAGTCTTTACTACAATTTCTTTTTGAAAAATCAGATAATATCGATGCCAGGTTAGAGCGGTTGACCGCGATCGTGACAACTTTTCAACAACAGTAGACAGTTTCCAAATAGAACATTATTAGAGTTAGGAATAAGCCATGTAACGTTATTCTGGAAATCGTAAAAATTGACAGTGGAACCGGATTAATGAACGTAATGGACAAAGTGAAACGTATATCCACCAATTATGAGATTACTTATAGAATTCAAAATCGTTTTGGTCCTTCTTGATGACGCTCTTGTAGGCTTTTTCGAAATCTTTTGTGAGTACAACATACCGGTTCTCTCTCACTGCATGCATACCGGCCTGAAAACATTAGTCTCTAACTTACACTACTAAGAAAATCCTGCAGCGACAAGGATGCATTCAACAGTAGCACCAGATTGTCCTAAACTACCTCTTGACAAATTGCATTGATATCAGCACCAGAAATCTTGTCAGGTCGTGCGACATAATCCTCAAGATCAACGTCATCGGATAAGTTCATTTTCGACGTAATTGTTGTGAACACAAGTCGTTTCTGACGTCTGAAATGGGATATAAGTACCACTTTGACTAGTTTTTATTGCAACAGGATCGTCGAGGGTTTTCTATTTAGCCATATAGCTAATAAATTGGATGAATTTTTGCATACTCAGTTAACACATACCTATCAGGAAGAGGGAACTCGATTTTCCTATCCAGTCTACCAGGCCGAAGCAAAGCAGGATCCAAAGTGTCGTGCCTATTGGTAGCCATTATAACCTAAACGCGTTCGTTAAAACTTTGAAAAGGTAAAAAATTACTGTCTTAGAACAATGGTCCCACACATACCTTGACGTTAGTGCTTTGGTCAAAACCATCCATTTGATTTAGAAGTTCCAGAAGAATGCGTTGAACCTAGAGCAGGATAATGAATAAAGCAATTGAAGCGCTGTGATATTTTTACATAAAACTTTACGGCCATCATTTATGTTCAGTTGCTGCGTTCATCTCGCTGAGTGCGTGGTTTTCGTAGTATTCTGTAGCATACAGCCACGTCCATTGATCTTCTAAAGAGGAAAAAAAATAAATAAGCACCTCTCTATCCGCTCCTGTTTGAGCGTCGAATCTTTTCGTTGCTATTGCATCAATTTCATCAATGAAGATGATAGATGGCGCGTTTTCTTTGGCAAGGCGGAAAACGTCTCGCACCATTCTAGGACCTAGACTAACCATATTATTTCCGCAGCATATTATGCCGAATTAAAGTGGACTCGCCTTCTCCAAGATACTTCTGCACGAACTCTGAACCTACGACCCTTATAAATGATGCAGCAGTATTAGCTGCGACAGCCTTTGCGAGCATCGTTTTTCCACAACCAGGAGGGCCATACATGAGAACCCCGCGAGGTGGATCAATGCCGATCTGAAATTTACTAGTTAATGCAAGTTAAAATAGATTTAGCCTTGACTTCTTAAAATTAGTATGAATATCAAAGGTGCCTAAGTGTAAAGAGTCGTGACACACTGCATATCATGATGGAATATGTTCGTATAACTACAACGATGGAGGTGGTAACAGTGTCGAAATCAGAAGTGGTTGTATTTCAAATAATACCTTACCATGATAAATGAAGTGATAATGATAAATGAAAAAACGAGAAGCAATATATAAAAAATTCAACATAATGATTTCGATTGCAGCCACAGCTTAGTTCAATGTCGAACTGTGCTCACCAGATCATTCCCGTTAAAGGGTGATTGTTGATGGTGCCGTTAAGGTAAAAACTGGCTGAGAGGAAGGCAAAGCGATGACATCGGTGGTGCAGTGGGAAATAGGTGGGCCCCGTAAAGAGAAATCGCGGTTCCAAACCTGGCCTGGGATCCGAGTTTTACAAATACCTCTGCATTACTATGCTTGTATTTCACATTACATTGTTATGGAAAAAATAATAGGAGGTAAATAAAAGGTTAAACATTGTATTTTAAAATGCTAGTGGTGTTTTGGTTTCCAGTTCAGAATTGAGAACTACTCCAACTGATACTGTGATAGAAACATGTTGTTCCTGACATATACCCCTGCTTCTGACTGGTTTCTATTCTAGTATGCCCATATTTAATGAAAAGTCATCATAGGAAGACCGGACTAATGCACATTCTTGAAAAAGCTTACCTGCTTGTAGAGTTCTCCGTGAGTGAGTGGTAACTCAACCGCTTCTCGAACCTCTTGCTTCTGCATATCAAGCCCTCCAATATCAGCATATGAGACATCCGGTTTCTCGTCTGGACGGAGCATCTAAATTTCGTGTATCGTAACATGCTTGGTTTCACAGAAGAAAGTGGTACACATGTGTAGACAGGAAATGGTAAATAAAATGATAAGGGATAAACCTCTCGGCATTGATCAATCCCTGAGGGATGTGCCATGCATTCGACTTCATTAAGCAACGTTCGGAGGTGACTGAATGCATATCTGGCCTTTACAATGATTCACGGTGGCCAACCGATGTACAGAGCCAGTGCTGCTATCCTCCCATACAAGCCTGGTACCAATTTGCCGATCCTGGAGGGAAGGAGGGCTTGGTGGACCAGAGGAGCAGGGAGTGATCCCATATGTGTTGCAAGGCATCTCCGAACGCTACACCACACGCACCGAAATGGTTCATAGAAGACAATTTTATATCATTCTGCTGTTTCCGACAAATAGACTATGGAACAGAATTGTTTAAGAAAGTAATAAGTACAACAAACATTTATATTATGCACCAGTGATCTGAGAACGAAGCAATCGAAAGCTTCTACCCACCTGTATTGAACTATCGGCTTCAGGTGGCAAGACATCTACAAGTGCATTAGAATACTTGTGCAAAGCAACCGAACATCCCGGCTTCAACAATTCCCGATCTACTATTGACAGAACGCGAACATAATAGTTCGAACCTGTAGAGAAGAAAAATATGACTTTTCCATAAATTTTGACTTTTTATAAACACTAGGTCTAATATAGACAATACATGAAACATGAGAAATTTACGCGTCAATAAAAAATCCTCTGACGGCATGTTTTGAGTTCTTCAATACTCTTATAAGACACTACTTCCCTTGAATAACTCACCAGTGGTGCTGCCAACAATAGCATGATCTTGATCCACGGCTTCCAGAAACTGCCCGATCACTAACGGCACTGATTGGATTCGCTTGACCTGCGTGATAAACGGGAATAACAAGGGTTCATCGCCGAAATAGTTGAGAAAAAACGCTTTGTAATTTAGGTTTTTAGTCAACATGTAATGTCAAAACATCAATGGAAATTAGATGCATTTAGGTGCCTCTGTGTGTCAAGCTTTGATGTAGACCAGAGATTCATACCTGACCAGGGTTTTCTAAATTAACAGGTTTCATACAATATCTGGAAACCCAGTTAGGAACACATCAATGCTGAGGATCAGCGCCGTCTGTGGTGACGAACAAAGAAACCCCTAGAGATTCGAGACAAACATTTAGTTACTGTTTGATTTGAGACGAAGAAAACTTGGTCAACTATAACTGTAAAGAGGAGACTATTCAGTTCTGCATGATTCTTTGAGAAGAAAGCCATTCAATTATGTAAGATTTGTGAAAAGAAATGAGCACACTCATAGTTGTTAATCCCATAATAAACACCTCTTCCTGAGCATGAAGGAGCTCCTTCTCGAGGTTCCTTGTCTCCAATTTTATATAGTCCTCCATGACTTGCAAATGCTCGAGCTCGTTTTCGAGTTTCTTAAGTCTGTAACTTTCGTAAATAAGATTTGAGAAACAAACAAAGCAACAACAAACACCGTCACTGAAAGCTTCCCATAAGGGACTAGAAATACTTGGCTCCACAACTGAAACAGAACGGTACTAAGAAGAAAGTTCACAAAGACATCTGCTAGGACGGAAACTTTTCTGTATATCGATGGACACGGACTACAAGTATCATATTAAAAGTCGTTCTCACTTCAGATAGTCATCATTTTCTGGATCCAAGCCATCTCTAGGCTGCTGCTCACCAATGGAGACGTGTTCTATGACTTTGTCCAAATCATCCTGTGAAAAACATAGCATCTGCATGGAAGAATAGGTGGAAGCAAAGAAAAGCACCTACAAATATTCCGAGAGCGACCGCTGTCATAGTCGTGTTGCCTGAAACGAATCGCACCGATTGGAAACAATCACCGACGAATTCAGTACAAACTTACGACAGAGGAGGATAGATAACGTAGCGATTCAAAGTCATAGAAGGATAAAAGATAAAGTCCTCCGCGTTGATCAATCCCTGAGGGAAGCGCCATGCATTCGATTTCATTAAGCATCGCTGGAAGTGACTGAATGCATCTCTGGCCTTTACAATGATCCACGGTGGCCTACCTATCGAGCCATTGCTGTTATTCTCCGATAAAACTGGTGCAATTTTCCAAGCCCAGAGGGATAGAGGGCTTGGTGGACCGGGGACGCAGGGATCGATCCCGTGTGTATTGCAGGACGCCACATTAAAAGTCATACTACAAGCAAACTTCACGTCTAAATGATGAAGTGGACAAGACTCAATACGACTTGCAGTGAACGCTGGAGCATGACATAACTTCATAATTTAGTCCTACGAAGAAAATAAAGACAAGACTTGGCCTGAGTTCCAGCTCTTCACGGAACCTCCACAATCCTTCGCTGGTCCCACCTGGAACGTACGCCGATAGTCTTCACTTCCTTGCAGGAAACACATCAAATCATGTTGAACTGCTAAAATACTGAGGTCGGAAACGATTCGATGATTTCGCTCTGTCACATCTGCTCGGCATTAATTAGAACTCTTGCGAGTAGGAAACCGGATCGTGTCGGCATGGTTTAAAGGAGGGCTGGTGATAGTGAATGGAGCACGTCGCTGACCGAGTTGTTTTCCGAACCCACCACATCTCATCGGGTCTCGGTGGCCCATTGCGCTGTTTTATGTCTGTCCATGCTTCTATTGTGAAATCAAGATATATATCTGTACAGCTACTGTTGCATACGTTTGGTTTCGTCCTACGAGAAAGTGTAATTTTTTTTTCGAACATTCACGATACTAGCCATTATCAATTGTGATACTATTACCACTTTTTCGTGAGCTTAGGGTATAGGTTTCGGTCATTCACATTCCTTTATTGCTGGTATATCAGTAGAGAGAAATTCATGTAGTGAAATTTGGTTTGAGAGGATGACAGGCTTCTTAGTTATATGGTGTGCAATGGCGGAGTGTTGTGACATTGGTCGTTCATTTCTCAAGTGCGGACTATTCTCTCATCACCACATTTTCTGGAAATATAGGGTTTTTTAGCTCAAGTTCCAGACTAATAGTGTGCTTTGCTGAAGACTGTAGAATTTTCTATGGGTCATAGTCAGCATGGTGCAGTTATCTCGTCATTGTCGTATTTTTGTTGAATGAAATGTGAACAGATTGGCTCTGTACCGGCTTTTTAGCGTCGTCATAAGTTCACTGGATGGTCTGATTCGTGATTGTTGATATAACGCTTAAATTACAGTGAAACATTCGCTGGATTTCCCATTCTGTCACAGCCTGGAAACTTTCAAACCACTGCAGATGAACTGAAAGCCCAAATATCAGTTGCATAGTAAACATCGTTCTAAGCAGCCAACGTTTCTCTTGTTCACACTTTAGAGGACGGGATCAATCGCACAAAGTTCTGATCGGATGGGGAACATCCTCTTATCAGATCACAAATCAGCCGAAAACTTGGGGTCAGGTTCAGTATGGGGAGCGTGAACCGAATTCTGATGACAAATGGGGACTTTCTAGGATGGACACGTAGCTTGTCTTTCGACACATTTTGTATTCTCGTTGGGCCGTAAGTCTTCTTTTGATTTTCTGTGTAGAATTTCGAATTTTCCTACTTAATGTCTTCCTTCCTAAGCATTGAGTCGGATTCAATGGTAGAATACGGACCAAACTGTTGTTTTTCAGTGGTCGTCATCCCTAATGATGAGCACCTTAGTTTTCCTTCGATCACACCACATGAAATGAAGACGTTTAGAATCTAAGAAATCGAAAAATCTAAGCCAACTACTTGCAAATTTTCTCATTATAGTGCAATGAGATCATGAATTCCTTGTGACCATAAACTGGATTTTTCTTTTTTTTTTTGCCTGGGGCCTATGTTTTTTCCTTTGAGGGCGACTGAACAGGTGTGTCGTTCACTGTTTAGAAACACCCTGTTATCTCCACAGGTGCACTATGAAGATTTGAGTTTTTTTCTAAGTCTTATTTTTAATACTCTGACTGTATGCAATTGTAAAGTTAGGATAGCATAGCGGGGAATTTGTACTTTGGAGGGTTAGAGCAGACGCTGTGCCATTAGTCAGCCACTGTTCTATTCACAACACGCTTCCACGCTTGGATGGCTCGTCTCCACTGCTTATGCGGCCCTCAGCATAATTTCTATTTTTTCGGAGTTTTGTTGGTTTAGCCATTGTGGTTTCCTGGAGTCACGAGGTCAGCCAGGCCAAAGTCTGCCCCAAGTCGGCACCACCACAGGCAGTCGCTGCATTGTGGATCAGAGTGATATTTGCCACCACGCAACTAGTTTGATACCAGGACGGTGGTGGATCCTGGTATTGGTTCACTCTTAGCTAGGCTTCCTGATGGAAACGCCGGACCCCTCAGCTTGGGAGACCCTTCTGGGCGAATGAATCCCCATTGTGCATTGTAACCCGACACCTTGAACACCTCTCTGCCGCGATGAGGCGGTAAACCTTTGGGAGAAGCGATTCACAACAATGGTAAGAAATTATTCACATTTACCCAAAAGCCAGTATTGGTGCTAAACAGGTAAAGATTTGGCTCGTTGTAAAGTGTTAAATTAGCGACCTCTTGTTTGCTCGTCGGTGACAAAAGGAGAGTTTCGTGAAGGGCATGTGGCGTTTATTATCCTCAATGAACTTCATTCTATTTCGAGAATGGGCAGTCTACTCCTAGAATGGCTATAGAATGGGATAAGTGACACGCAGAAGTAGTCCTGGCGAAGGAACTTCACGGTGTCGATATTGTGGAATTGAATTGAATGTAGGGTCAGAATGAGAATAAATGGATCCGAATCCTTGTATTTGAATATGCTGACCTTCCTTGCATATACCGTGCTGCAGATTAGAAATAAGTCTATTTGTTTTCCTACGTAGAGAAAACCCGTTTTTAAAAATAACCCAGCATATTACTTTTTTTTTAGGATGTCTTCTACTGCAGCAGAAGTTAGTGGGGAAGAACAAACACTGAGAAGAACAAACGATGAAGACGATAGCTTATGTACTGGAGAATTCGAGATCATATCTTGTGATTCTATAAGTAAGTCTTCAAGTTCGTAGAAGCTTTGGCTGATGCTAGGGTGGTATAGGTCTTCGTTGTCGTTGTCGTTGTTGTTGGTGTTGTTGGTCGATGGCTGACATTTCGGCGATTTCGCCTTCCTCAGAGCCGTGACGTTACGAGTGGGACTCGTCCACTGAGCTTACCAAACAACACCAAACACCAACAACAACGACATCGACAACGAAGACCTATACCAACCTAGCATCAGCTAAGGAAGATCAATTTATAAGATCATATAGATAAATATGTCAACTATCTATCCCGAGGTTTATAGAAAGTCGGTCTTTTGATTTATGGAATCGTTCCCCGCGCCCCAGGCTCACGAAGCCCTTTATCCTTCCGGGGTCATCAAAAAATTGGTACCAGACTTGTCTGAGAGCACAGCAGCACTGTCTCGATACATCGGTAGGCCCCAGCGAGTTATTGTAAAGGCCAGATATGCGTTCAATCACCTGCATCGATACTTAATGAAGTTGAATTCTTGGCGCGATTGATCAACGCCGAGAGTTTTATCCTTTATCTAAAGGAAAACGTGAGTTCTGACTTCGAAGCGAAATTCAAGTGTGCCTATTTTGGAGGGAGTTCGTACCACCTATTGAACCTCTTGGTATTGTTTTTACTTTGTCTTCGTTCACTTTTGGAATGATCCCATTCTTATTGCTTGCTTATAAGGGTGCTCCATAAATTTTGATTCCTGTCGTACAGTGTTTACATAATAAGAGCTCAAAAGGTATTCTTCCTTTTGTTCTTTCTTTTCTTTCCATTTTTTTCTCTTTTTCCGGAGAAATTTAATGTGAGGTACAAAGAAATGAACGAAGTAAAACTTTTTTCTGGGGTTACAGCACTAGTCCAATAGCAAATATGAATATTCCAGTTTTCCTTTTATTACCTTCACTTCGTTAAATTCACTCTCAGGAAGAGTTGTTGCGTATATGAGATCATGGTAATAACGTTCATGATTAGACGCACCTTTGTTGTCGTTGGCATCTTTAGCTTGTATTTCTCACTTTTCAGGTTATGAGAATCCTGAGCGTCGTAACACTGAGACTCCACAGTGGTCTACGCAACACAGTATAAACGTTGAATCATTGGTACCTCTGAATAATCTAGCGTCTTTACTCTGTGCCAACCATAGTGATCCACCAACTACTACTTTTTGGTGAATATTTCACTCATCATATATATGAAGGGGCGAAGGTAGTGTGCTTGGTTAGTCGTACCTTGTGCCACATGTTGTCGTTGGTTCGATCTCGCAAGGCCAACTAACCTATCACTCCAGCCTTCTGATGTCTACAAACTGGTGCAGAGCTAATCTGGAAGGATAGAAGGACCGATTTAATACAACACTAGGCCCACATAAGTCTGAGTAAACCAAATGTGTATTCATTGGCATCTGTGATGCCTGAAAATGAGTAGGACGCATTCTTGAGGAATCAGAGGGGAAAATTTTGTTTCTAATCCTTCAGGATACAAAGGTTTCAATTTGTTAGAGGAAATGCATACTAAAATAACTATTCAGCTACTTCTCGTTTCCAGCTTCCACACGGTAGCTGAAACTGATCACACGACGCCACATTCTGATCAAGCATCAGATCAGGCTTCAACGGTTAAGAATTCCAGTGAAACAGCAGTAGTGCCAGGGAGTATTGAGCACTGCCCCTTCACTGTGTCTGCATTTACGAATACTTGTTAGTTTATTTTTTTACTGTTTAAATTTATGTGAAATGCAACCACGAGGATGTTGATATATAGGCAGCACTGCAACCTCAGGTGGACTTCGAACCAACAGTTACCCATTCCAGGGGGCTCACATTTTACCCACTACACCGCCGACGCCTTTGTTCTGGCTTTCTCTTAGCCACTTCTTTATTCTAATGGTGCTATCAGTAATAACCTCTCAGATGGTATGGTCAATAGGGCACAAATCGCTATTGGACCTCGCTAAGCTGAATATGCAAGCGACAGTAAACAAAAGTTAAGACGTTACGATAGAGTTAAAACATGGCTGAGAGAAATGCAAAGCAAGGGTTTGAGTTGGTGTGGTGGATACTACGTGTGTTCCCCCGAAAAGGGTTTCGCGGATTCGAGACCCACCTGAGGTTCTCATACCTTTGTGATTATATTTTACATAGCACCATGCTGTGAAAAGAGAATAGATAGTAAATAAAACTTAAGACATTGTCCAAAGTTACTTTATTTACAGCATTGTCGTCTGAATCTGGTGTCACTCTTGAAGATGTCCTTCAGTCTCAGAGTGAAACCCGCGAAATGTTAGAACTTGTAATCACTTCTCTGAACTCAATGAAGAGAAACCGCTCTAAGGTACGAGTGACTGTTGAAGTACACGTTAGGGTTGGAGGTTGTTTAAGAGAAAAGAGACTTATATTTAAGACAAATCAGTCTCATATATGCCGTGGAAGAGCCTAACAAGGTGGTATCTTCCTCTAGAACTGTAAAGAGAAAATATCGGTCTTCTACGAGTACGAAGAGGGTTTCACTAGCTTTTGGTAGAACTAATGGAGCGTAGCTGCTGAAATCTCAAGGTGTTGTTAGTCTGGTAAAATCTGTGTTGTCCCGATGATGCAAGCTAATAACGTTAATTACGATAACGGAGTGAGAGGGACGAAAATACTCCAAATACCACACGTATGGTAATAGAAAGTCTTTGTTTGAAATGTAAATAGACATCAGAGTAGACAGCGAGGCGAGTATTCTTCTTTAGATAGGCTTATTCTTTGACAACAGCTTCCATAAACAATGGCTTGAGATGGTGGTTTGAGGTTAAAAAGACGCAGACCGTTGCCGAATTTCACATTCTTTGTGCCCCTTTTAGCTAAACTCACGCTGTTGCTCTCGCAGTATTGAAATTTTGAGGTTAATGCATTGAAATGGACAACGAATAGTCCCAAAAAGATGATGAGACCTTCTACATTTTCGGCGACTTCCACACCAGCATCGTGCAGGAAAATACTGTGATTTTACCATAATGAAGCTGAACGAAAATTCAATCGAAAGTTTTGGAAGCGTCAGGCATCCAGTTTATCCACTGGTGCTTCGTCAGTTACAAAGCCGTAGCATGTTCAGGCCGAGCAGTCATCGCATTAAAAGGACAGTGGAATGCATCGACCTCTTCTCCGATCTCTTCAACAAACGCGTCCACCTTCATCCACATGCTCAAGAGTTGTATAAATTTGTTATCTTTACGATCCTCCCTTCCAAAGTCGAACATGTCGTCGGTGAAAAGTCATCCAGCATCTAGTCTCGAGAGGATGTGGTCCGAAAAAGTGAAGACTTGGAGCTAGCTTTCATAAAAGTGCAAGACGGTTGTATATTCTGTAATTATGGAAATGCATGGTCCTCAGAAATTTCGTGGAATTCTAGCAGAACCACACTGTTGCGCAGAAATGGCATCCAGACGACGTTGTCGACTATCGCTCAATTTGCTTTGTCTCGGTTATCTACAAGCTTTTTATTTGAATTGTCCTCAGTGAGAATTAGAGAACATTGCGTTAAGAGCAACAATGACAGAAGACGAGGATTAGAAAAGTGTTCATCGCGATTGCTTAGATTTACACGTTACTGATGCATACTGAAATATTTGAGGAGTAAAAGGTGCCCGTTTGTTACTCTCATCGAATTCGTCTGAGCTGAAACGGAAGTGATGTTTAGGTTGGGGAATCAGCATCATGTGCAATATCGAGGAACTTTTGATGAAGCCAAAGAAAATACACCCAAGTATACGCCCAACACTCTATGATTTTGGCTATGATTTTTCGCCCATTATTATAAAAGGATAAAAGCTCTATGCCGCGATCTGAGGAATGTGCCATGAATTCGACTTCATCAAGCATAGATAGAGGTGATTGTGTGATGCATATTGACTCGTGCTGGCCTACCGTTTAATCGGGTTAGTTCTTTTCCCCTTCCAGACCGGTCAGGTGCCAGTTTGGCGAGTCCTGATGAATAGAGGGCTTAGTGAATCCGGGGAGTGGGATCGAGCCTAAGTGTATTGCACGGCACCTCTAACTCGCTCACTAACATACACTTCGCAAACCTGTGCGCTGCACAAGCAAGATAAATGACAGCTATTGAAAATGCTATGTAGCGAGTGTCGTTTTGGGGTTATGCTATTTCAGCCAGGTGTAAGGGAGATTGTGAGTTCTTAGAAACGCCCCAGACATGACGATGTGATTCGTTCAATAACTCAAAACATTTGTCCATCTCCTTTTTTGTGGAGCAGGTAGCAAAACAGCCATCTATATGTCTGCAGGAGAGTGATGGTTTGAGATCAATTACAGAGGAATATGTAGACATAGATGAAAACAGATAGAATAGATTACTGTTTTATTGTCTACTCCACACAAGAGAAGATAGACAAATGTTTTGAGTTATTGAATGAACAGTCGAAGTACATTAAGTTTACAGGAGAAAAACCGAAAGGAAATTGGCTTCCATTTCTGAACGCTCGCATTAACCCATGCGAAAACGGCTACATTACCAAATGGTACGGAAAACTATGTAACAAGAACATAATGGTTGATTACCTCACCTCTTACGCTTCACACAAAAACGGCGCTTCTAAGAAACATGTTTCGAACAGCCACTAGTGTTCACACAGAAAGAGAGCAGAAGGAAGAATCCATTCGGATTCATCCATTCAGAAACATAATGGAAATTGGCGCGGCAAGTGGGCGTTTCCACTAGCCACGAAACGGTAGTTCCTCGGGATAGGTTTGGAAGAAAACCTGCGATCCAAATGATATGTGTAGTGAGCACAAGGTATCGTTTATCGTGTCCTTGATTTTCAACGACATAAGTGCAACTGTAATAGCTTGCTCGGACTAGAGAATTCGGTAGCAATGGGTGAAATGCCACTGAGTACAATCTTAACTCTTTTATTTACTGCCTTTTTCTTCTTAATGGCAGGGTATGTTGTGAAATATAACTCGTATGAAGTGCTGAGATATTTGCAAAACTCCGGACTACAGGTGTATGCAGTGAGGAACGAACACGCGCTGTTGTCCTTACCGGGGAGCAGCGCACTTCACCACTACACCATCCGGGTGACCGCGCTGCTCCCCGGTAAGGACAACAGCGCGTGTTCGTTCCCCACTGCATACACCTGTGGTCCGGAGTTTTGCAAATATCTCAGCACTTCATACGAGCCACTGAGTACTCCAAGACGTTAGTTAGTTCCTAACCACCTTCGTGGTCCTGTGCACAAAGAAAAATTGCATATATCCTAACGGTAGAGACGGTCATTGCATCAGTTCAGGTACGCTTGATCTCTTGCAAAGCGTATAAAGAACGATACATTGGCGGAACGGATAGACCACTATCCGTGTAAAAGAAAGCACATAACGGGAAGATTTTGAAGTAGAGGTCAAAATCTTCGCACAAAAACCTAAAGCTTCGACGTGTGAAACCATGGAAGCATTCTGGATAAATTCTAAAAATCCAAAGTGAACCGTAGAGAGGAATGCTCATTATTACGCGAGGTCTTACACAATATCTCAGCATATTTTACGTGAGAGAGGCACATTGCTCATTCATTTGAGCTCTGTACGGCCGGTACCGACGTAGATTACTCAGTGGAAGGCTGATAAAAAGCGGTAACTGTTTAAAGAAACTAGTTCGTATTCATTGCGATCGAAATCTAGGTTTCGTAATTTTTCTGCTAGTTATGGAAGTTTTGGCTTATTAGATTGCGGTCAGCTTGACCTATCCAGGCTCCGAGGAAGACGAAATCCGCCGAAACGTCATCTTTTGTGAATAAATAACATTTAATAACGACGTTGTGTGTGCTGTGCTTACCAAGAAAATAGCGAATTATTTATTAATTTAATTAAAAAATGGAACCATTAGAATCCACAGATTTTTGCGTACGAGGTACAAGTTCGCATATTCTACGTAGCCGAAACCCTGATTTTTCTTTTGAACCCGTAAACTTCTGTTTTAAAGAGGTGTTTCTCGGCAAGGGGCGTATTTTAAACATAAAAACAATTGAATGAGCGAGATTTCATGCAGTAGCGTACGGTGCTTCTTTCGCACTCTTCTCTTGTACTGTGCTTCTTCTGCTAATGTGTGAAGTTGTCGACTCTTGAGGTAGTCTAAAAGTCGATAGATTTTTGCCATTTTTCGAAAAACCGGCCTTGTGCATTATGTGTTAATGATGATTGCTTAATAGGAGTCATTGGAGTCTGTGTTCCATAATGCGTTGAACTAGCGGCATTAACATCACCGACCCTGTGCTCTGATTTCTTCACGATACTTCTCGTGAAGGATGTTTCTTCATGTTTCTTGGGAAAGCAGAATCCACAAGGGCAAATCTGTCACGCTGTCGACACAGCGGGAGACTTTGCCGACTCGTGCTTAAATCAGTGGTTTATGAATTGTAGAGCAGATGATGTATGAAATCGTTTGAAATGGTCTTAAACTTTACAGTTATCAGCCTTATGCAGCGGATTCAGTTTTTCTCAGTTCGAATAACTCAGTGAGATAATGAGAACGTATGAGTTAAAAGAAAGTTCTTGTTCAGCAATAAGTTCAACACTATAGGAAGGACCAGAATATTTTGTTCATAGCAACTGATCACTCAAAGCAAAAATAAATGGGTTGACTTCCACAAATTCACTTTGTTAGCCACCCAACCACTTTTCAGGTGGATGATCAATTGTGTACACAGAAGACATTGGAAACAGTAGATGAGAATCACAGCGAACCATCTTCGATGAAACAAGAAATCCTCAGCCTACAGGAACAGCTCTATAATCGAGGTTTAGAGGTGCGTTTTCTTTTGTGATTGATTGCAGTTTTTCGATTTCGTAGTGAAATGGCGCTATTGTGTTCTGGGAATCATGCACTGGATACTTGGATGCTTGAATGGTCCGTTTTCACTGGTTGTATAGGCCCTAGCATAATTTCCGTTTCTTCGGAGTTTCGCTGGTCTAGTCACTGGTTCCCTGAAGTCCCGAGGTCAACCTGGCCAAAGTCTGCCCAGGTTGTCACCACCGCAATTAGTCGTCACCGCTGTTGTAGATCAGAGGGAGATTTGCCACCATGGGACTAGTTTCATGCTAGGACGATGGTGTTCGTTTACTCTTAGCTAGGCTTTCTGATGGAAGCACCGAACTCCTCAGCTTAGGAGACCCTGCCATAAGGAGAAGGGTGGGGGCGAATTCTTCCGCTCTACATCGCAACCCGACACCCAGGAATACCTCCCAGCCACGATGAGGCGGTGAACCGTTGGGAGGGAGAATCATGCATTTGATAGCTTAACCCCTATCGTTCTTGGTAGAGTTCGTCGCGGAGTCATCCGTACGGAACAAGACGTTGCTTATAAATTTATGAGAAGACGGTTGCACACCATCAACCAAATCCTCTTGACATTTTTAAATAGGCCATACATTTATTCTAAGTGGCTTATTGCCGTATCGTAACGTAAGCATAAACATTTCCTCATCTGTGTCAAAGTGCGATGTACAGCGATTATTGATCACTCAGCACCCAGATTACGGTTTTCATCCGAGTTATGTGATTAATTGTATTGCAGGGTACCTGCATATTGTAAATATTCACCATCTCCGATAAATGTGAGCGAGTGGGTTCGTTAAAGGAAGGAACGTAACCCTCTACAACTTCTAAACCCATTGTTTGTTTATCACAAGTTTAGGTTGATTTGCTTACGGAGGGTCTTAAGAAAGCGAATGCCGAACTAGAAGCTGCATACCGCCAAATTGCTGATTTAACACAGAGTCACGATTCAATCAGTGACAGATACAAGAAATTGAGGTGAGCATTTTTCGTTAATTTCCATGTTTTTTCATTGTCATTGGAATCCTTTCCCCACGTGTTCTCATAGGTCACCTGGCACCCATATCAAATTCACTTTCTGACCAAAAATGATTGTTGTTTCCTTCGCGTGTATTGTGATGAATTGTAGTATCATATAAATAGATACGAAAAATGTTTATTTGTTCTGAATTATACTAAACTTATGTTTGAAACGCATTAGCAAGAGCCGACTGCATCGCATCGCATCGCGGTTGTAGATTGGACAAGTTTTCTTCTTTTCACGAACGACGGAAAGATGTAAAACATGAACGAATACACGGAAGTACACAGAGGACATGAACATTTAGAAAAGATAAGATAGGGATCAGTAGAGAAGTCCACAAAGGGCAGAGCAGAAAACTACAGAGCTGTAGAAGAAGTGACGGCTCAGACTTTTTGAGACATTTCGAACGGAATGCGTTGATTTCGAGGCGTACCGTCTAGTACAGCGGCCATACATATTTATAAATGGTTTAGAATTTGACCTCGTAATGGATCTCGGAAGGCATTTCGGTGAATAATATTTGTCCTAGACATGAACCTGCCTTTCATGCTGAACTTCACAGTGACACATTTTCGTCAATGCGAAATTTTAAAAGTTATTATTTGGAAAATGTCATAGCTTATTTGACCTGTGGTGTTTTATCGTCCTTACTTTGCTGCTCATTAAAGTCTTTTCTACCCTTTTTTGTAGTTGCTTAATAAGTCTTGAGGTTAGTTCTCGTAACTGTAGGTTTTGCTTTAGTGAAGAGCTGGATGAGACTTACGCGTTACTAATAGCAGAGCGAGAGCGTGTTGCCCTTGCAGAAGATCAGCTCCGTTCGCTCCAGTCTGGTACCGTTTTTTCACGATAATTGGCAGTTTTTTCTTTAATGCGAGATGTACTGTAGAACATCTTTTCGGTGGTGGATATCCTGTTGCTAATGAGGAAATGGTTATCAGAGAAATGCGAGAGAAAGCCGCATATGCACAAACGTTGGAGTTAAAGGCAGTGATTTTGTTCTTCACATTTATTTGTTTTACTCTTCAGTTCATATACTATTTTAGAATTAGTAGTTTTAAGTACTCATGTTTTTATGTTTTTTATTCGTGTTTGCTAAGATCTATGCTTTTACAATTCATTGATGCCAACCTACGTGACTTAACCACGTTGGTACTGAGATATCTGTAAAACTCCGGACAGCAGGTATCTGCGGTGGCAATTCAATACGCTATTGTCCTTTCCGGGGGTTAACGTGTTCACCGCCACACCATGTGCGTCTTTCGTTTCGCCTTTCTCTCAGCCAGTTTTATATTTGCCAGAGTTATCAGCAATCACCCGTCAGTTGATCTGGGACACCCAAATCGACATTGGACCCAGTTAAGCTGAGGCTGTAGTCGAAATTACAATGTGGCGAAACGAAGGATGCGCATAGTATGGTGGTGAACACGTTAGCCCCTGGAAAGGCTAATAGCGTGTTCGGTCCCCACTGCAGACACCTCCGTGCAGAGTTTTGCAAACATCTGGGCATTATTGTGGTTGATTTCGCATAATACCCTGCTGTGAAATTTGTAATAGGCAGTAAGTAAAAAAGTTAACTAGGTAATTTAGTTGGAAGAAGTTAGTGATCAACTCTGCACTCTTACCAAATCCTGTGAGAACAAGGATATGGAATTAAGAAACCACGTCGAGATCATCAATGTTCTGAAGGAGGTGTGCCTATTTCTTTGTTTTACTTTGGAGATCTACCGATATGCTATTGTGAGCTATGGGTCGAAGTGTTTTATAACGCGCTGCTAGTAACCTTTGTATTCCTTTGCTGGTAGGGTTTCATTGTCTTCTTGAAAAGCTATTTTGTTTTTCATGGGAGCCATTGGCAATAATTTCTGGAGATTTTCACATAAGAACAATGCCCAAAATGTCTGATGTGTCATCTGAACCTTGCAGAATTTTCTCATCAATCACCAATAATTCCGTATGGTCCGATTACTCGAAATAAAATTAACATCTTGACTATTGCCTTCCCCATAGTCATTACTCCTAGAAATTCATGAAGGAAATATTTTCGTAGATGCTCTCTCCATCATGTTCCGGGTGATATGAGTCACATAGGATTTGTACGTGGTTGATAATTATTTCCATATCTTCAGACGGAGTATCAACAAAAATTTTGAATTGTTCGAGTCGATGCCAATATTTTGCAATCTTCCTTGTCCTACCACGACGAATTTTTCGTTTTCTGGAACTTAATAATTCCTTCTGTTTGGAGAACAGCGGAGCGGTTGAGAAAACGGAACTTTGCAGGACGCAATTATCTGGAATGCATCGTAGATGTTTAAGGGTCACACTTTGTGTTAAATGTCCTGAAAATTTGATTTTTTGTTGGAAAATTTGAGTTCCCACTGGGTTACCAGCGGAACGCCTTGCTTCCAGTGTTATGGTGCGAAAATGAAAATTGCCATCAATTTTGCAATAGTCCATCGTGGTTCATATGGAGCTTTTTATTTGCAACAGAAACTATTCAAGGTTGGAGATCCTTGTCTACATGATATAAGTCTTTTCACTTTTCCATGGATTCCATTTTTCTGAAGCGCAGGAGACGTATTTCTTCACATTCTTTCGTCGAGACTTGTATTTTATCATGAAAATTATTCGATAGGCCGGGTGTCGTTTTATAGCGTATAGTTTCATTTGCGACTGCCGTGTTTGTTGGGGAAGTGTCAACGTGTTCATTTCCTTTTGTGTATTTTTATGGACCAAATTAAAATTAAGAGGAAACAAATTCTTACTACTGTTTGTTTTATATTCATACATCTATCAAAATTACATAGGCCTTGAAATTATATAGAACTTTAAGACGGTAGAGTAGTCTCATCTATATGTTTGTTTATTCCCTGGTTCCCAAATTCTCTAGTAATGAAAGATCTTGACACTCTTTCAAAAACCAGCTTCGTCATGAAAAGGTTAAACATTTAAATGAAAGTATAATTTCAGAAGAATTGTCTGTACATTTAGCGTTATGTGGTAAACTCTCTTCCCAGGTAGTCAAGTATTGTAGTTATCGAAAATTACGTGCATTTATCGAAAAACCAATCTCTTCGCGATTGTGTAGCTGTCATCTTTGAGAGTTTGCAGTTTTATTGGACTCCTCCATCTGTTGGTATGCACTAGATTTATGTAACGTTGATGTTGTTTTATTGATCGTAAATGTTTAGCTTTTGTGGTGGTGTTGAATGGACCAAGGTTATTCTCATGGTGGGGATTGTTGCCACCTTCTAACAGATCATAGGTACTTGGGAACATATACAATAACTTTTTACATTCCTGATGTGGATCATAATTACCTGGATACTGGACGGCTCGTCCTCACTGGTTGTGGGGGGCCCCGCATAATCTCCATTTTTTGGAGTTTTGCTGGTTTAGCCATTGTGTTTCCCTGTAACTCGGGAGGTCAACATCGCAAAAGTCTCCTCCAGGTCGTCACCACCACAGGCCGTCTCCGCCGCCCTTGTGGATCAGAGGGAGATTTGCCACCATGGGACTTTGATACCAGGACGGCAGTGGATCCTGGTATTAGTTTACTCTTAGGTGGCTTCCTGGTGGAAACGCTGCACTCTGCAGCTTGGGAGATCTTGCTGGGGGATGAATCCCCTCGGTGTATATCGCATCCCGACACCCAGGAACACCTCCCATTGACGATGAAGCGGTAAACCGTTGGGAGGCGTATAGGTCATAGCGTCGTATTACCTCCCAAATTATCTGGCGAGGTTTTCGTGGACTACTGCTTTGATAACGACGGCCGCATTATTCCTAAGGTTACGAAAATCATGAAAAGAGGGTTATTTCAACGGTCTGAATTGTTACCATATTCGTTTGTGCTGTCACTTTGTTGAATGTTATAAGATGTAAGTCTGTAGAAGACCAGATGTTAGTGTTCAGCAGAAGATGCATGCAGTAAAGCACCTTATTCTGTATCTTCAGGAAGACCAAGAAGCTAGACGAGAGATTGCTGAGAAAGATCGTAGAATTAAGGATTTGGAGGAAATGGTCGAGAAATTGGGCTTGGATCGTGAGGAGGTTAACAATTACTAACTTCTTTCAGTTTCTCGTCTCTAACCTCACATGCCTAGCATGCTACCCTATCCTAGCATCTGTTGTGATGTATAGTGCTCTACGATAATCGAATTGTAAATCATAACTCTACATTAGTTCTTTGTAAAGCCGTCTAACAAGAAACCCGATGTAAGCTTGGATTTTAGCTGTCGATTTCTACTTGACCAGATTTAGCTTAAAGCTGTGAGTGTGCATTTGATCGTCGTAGAATTGTATTTGCACTAGTTGCACCTTTCGAGTATAGAATGTTTGTATTAGTGATATCGTTTATATCATTTTTATATTCTTAATGCTTCGTTGAACAATCTTCTCCTTAGAGATCCGTATTCCCACGCACCCTTTCAAAGGGTTTTCGTTTATTGATCGATTCTGTAAAATGCGCTTAAGTTGTAAAGCTGCTAGCCTTGCATCACTTTGTATAAATATTTAGTCATTTTCCTCCATTCATTTCTTTTAAACGACCATCATTTGTGCAGCGGTCCTGTCAACAGTCTAGGTTCTCGAATGAGGGCAAGAGTTGCAGAAACGACGACACCGACGCTTTCGATGCATTTTATTTTCATTGTTTTTGACGAGAAGGTAAGCTTAGAAATCTGGCCGGACTCTAAAGCACTAAGCATTTAACTCTAGTTAGTTGAAGTGCCAAAGATTTAACTCTAGCTGGGCTTTGGAATGGAAAAGTTAATCGTATTCTCAGCTAGTAAGACCGTTCTTCTGAATGGGTACGCTTGATTCCTGCTGTTTGACACTTCGGGGCACGCGATTGTGGAGTAAAAAAACATCACATATCCAAATTGCGAGATTTTTAGGCGGTAAGTATGCAATTCTAAGAATTTCACTTGGGTAGAGGGACTTAAGATTATTTCGCTACCAAAGGTACAACTTCGTTTTTTTTTTCTGATTTTCTAATTCTGCAGGATGGTTTTTGCCCGTATTGAGCACGTACGTGCTAATTTTCGTCCTTAACCGACAGCGTGGTGGTTGAAATTTTGAGGGTTTTCAGACTATCAGTCCACATATCCCCGTTGTTTCAGTTCCCAGGATCGACTTTCTATTAACCTCGGCATTGGAATATGAATGTGTCGTTTTCTTGTTCAGCAATCGCGAGGTTGTCGAGCTGATTATAGTCACGCTGATTACGAAGAAAGCGGCTCTGAAGAAGGCGATACTGCCGAAACGTCAGCTAGTGTTGTATTGTATTGTGTTTTTCTATGGAAGTAAATGTATGCTGTTTAAAAACCTCGCGATTGCTGAACAAGAAAACGACACATTCATATCCCGTTGTTTCATTCGATCTCAGTTTCCGTCTTGATCTTATCTTTCTTCTAGAAAGGACGTCTAAATTTCAATGCCGTGTCTGCTTAGAACAAGGATAATTGGGAAATTTCTGTGAAAGTTTCAAGAAAAGGTATGTCGGACTATTCACCTAAGAATGCAGAAGATGTATGTAGAAGTTCCATTCCGAGCTCTTGCTAAGACAGCTGTACGGTTAATTCTTCAGTGATAGTGTTTCCTTATCAGAGGCACTTGGAATCTGTTGGACGCGAAGGTGGGGCTGCAGACTCTATGCGTCGTCTTGTTCAGCATTTCCTAGCTGTTCCAGTAATGCTGTCCTGCGGTCTTACCTCAATGGGAAGTGTGCGATTTCTTTCACTATTGTTTCGAACGAAATTAGGTTAGTCTGAAGGTGTTGTGGCTGCACTGTTTATGCTGGAGTTTCTTCTGGAAAACTTGAGCATTTTTACTGTTGTGAGATGAGTTGACGCATACCATTCGTTTTAATTAAATCTTCATCCCCTCATATTTCTTATCTTAATTTTCATGGTAGTTTGCAATATGCGAAGATTTTTTGTCTGATGAGCGAGCTATTGTCATCTACAATTCTTTGCTTAGAACATCCCTGTACTGCTCTACCTTTGTTATGTTATTTTATTTTATCTGGCTACTTTTGCTTCATTCTAGGGCATAGTCCATTTTCAAAAACGATAGAGTTTAACTCAGCTTCCCAATGCAGGACTCCAGCTGCGAAATCTATCTGTATTGATGTAAGATCAGATACGGTGAGTGATTTAGCATTGATATATGTAACAAAATAAATGGATGAAGCTCTCGGCGTTGATCGATTCTTAAAGGATGCACCATGCCTTCGCCCTCATCAAGCATTGTTGTAGGTGATTGAATGCATATCTGGCATTTATAATGACTTCCGGTGGCAACTTCCGACTGATGTATCGAGCCAGTGCTACTATCTTCCCATACAAGTATGGTATCATTTTGCCCACCTCGAATGCATGGAAGGCTTGGTGAACCTTGGGCGCGTTGATGGACCCCATGTGTTTTGCAGGGCACCACCGACTAATGCGCTACACACGCACAGGGTTATATGTATACATATATATATATATATATATACATATATATGTACATATGCATATATAAAAATCTTTTTTTTATCCTCTATTTGTATATAATGTACTACAGGCTATACCATAGTGTTGTGTATATTTACTGTATATGATACATGTAGGTGACACTGCCGTCACGTGAAATGAAGGAGGCGATGACAAACGCTGTTCTTGGAGATGATGTTTACGGAGAAGACCAAACAATCAACGAGTTGGAAGCAAGGTATATTTTAGGTATTCTATCATAATTTAGTTCACAGTGCCTTCAATTCGTACAATTTTTCATTATTAAAAGACTTTATAACCTTCGTTGAGCCTTAGTTCATTTTTGATACTTCTTCAGTGTTCATATCCGCTTTTCAGAATGTCTTTCAGCAGAGGGTCTTGATGTACTCTTTAAGTTCTTAGTTTTACAATGAAGTAAAGATTCAAAAAGTGGGATCAAAGACATTGAAAGGATCTCTTCGACTCCCTCTTTTCTAGATGTGCCACTTTGCTAGGTAAAGAGGCTGGTCTTTTCGTGGTCAGTGGTACGATGGGTAATCTGCTAGCCATCATGGCGCATTGCGAACGTGGTGATGAGATCATCGTCGGAAGATACAATCATATTTACCGTTGGGAACAGGGGAACTATGCCCAACTTGCAGGTGATGTGTGTTTGAATGCATTTTTGTGTGTAGATGTCCCTGGGCTACATCACAGTTTTTTGAGAGCGTCTTTCAGGTGTAAGTGCGACGACAGTTGATGTTGAGAATGAGGGTACTATGAAAAATCAAGATATCGAAGATTCCATTCGCATCAAAGACGATCATATGCCACGTTCTCGTCTCATTTGCGTAGAAAACACGCATAACTATGCTGGTGGACGAGCTCTGCCACTCGAATATCTTAGGTACAAAATAGTTGGAATAACTCAAAAGGTCAACTTTTTGTAAACCTCGGCATAAAAATCGATATACCTATGTATATGTTCTTCTTCTGTCCCTGTTCAGCTGACGCGAGGTTGGTATAGATGTTCTTATTGTTGTTGTTATCCCGTTCAGTGGCTGACGTTACGGCGGCTTCGCCTTTGCTATGGTACGTCCAGGCTCTGAGGAAGGCGAAGTCGCCAAAATATCAGCAATTGAATAACGACAACAACAGACTATACCAACCTTCTCCCAACGCTTTACCGCCTCATCGTGGCTGGGAGGTGTTCTTGGGTGTCGGATTGAGATGTGCAGCGGGGGATCCTTCCCCACGGTCGGTTCGCTCAAGTTGAGAAGCAGTTCGGTGTTTCCTTCAGGAAGCGTAGCTAAGAGTAAATCAATACCGAGGTCTGTTACCGTCATGGTATCAAACCATTCGCATGGTGGGAAATCCCTTCCTGATCCACGATGGCGGCGACTGCCTGTGGTTGTGACGATCTGGGGTAGACTTTGGTCTGGCTGACCTCGTGACTCCAGAGAACCACGTTGGCTAACCCAGCAAAAGTCCGACAAAAAGAGGATTATGCTGGGAACCGCACAACCAGTGAGGAGGGTCATCCAAGTATCCAACTATACCAACCTCGCCTCAGTTAAATAAGGGCAGTGCGCAAGAGCACATATATAGTTGACATAGATGCTTAGTTTTTTTTTCATTCTTGATTTTTTCCTTGATTCATGCTTGATTCCCCTATTATTATTCCCGTTGATAGCTAGAGATGTCAAATTTGTTTAGATCTGTTCGAGAACTAGCCTCTCGTCATAACCTGAATATTCATCTCGATGGCGCTCGTATCTACAATGCTTCTGTTGCTCTTAACGCGAAGGTGTGTACCAGTTCTGCCTTTTTGATTTTAGGAGTCTTATGCTTCTGTATGTTTTAACATCTAATCTTTTTGTAGGTTTCTGAAATTGCTCAGTATGCAGATTCAGTGATGATGTGTTTTTCAAAGGGTTTGGGTGCACCGATAGGATCCATCCTTGTGGGTTCAAAAGGTTTTATTGAGAAAGCAAGGAGGAGCCGTAAGGTTTGTACAAAATATTGCTTATGCTTCTATTGCTGGGCATAACTCCAAAATCTTTTGCTAATTCCTCTCATGCGACCTGCCTTCGCCTATTCTGCTGATCGAAGAATTTTTTTCGTTCAGTTTATTGTTTCGCTTCCGTGGTCTATGAAAGTTCAGATTTCAGTGTGATTCGGGTGCTACAGGAGGAATTTTAGTCGCCATTAAGAGCTGGTCGGGTTTTTCCTTTTTGTGATTTTGAAATAGCTTCAGTAATGTGGAGTCTTCACCACAAGCAGCCGCCAGCCTTTGTTGATCGGAAGGAGCTTTTGTTAATTAAAACTGCCACCACTTTTCCAACTCTCGAATAATGGAGAGTTTGGTTTACCAGAAGCGGAGTCGAACCTGTAGTGCATCTATTACACAGCATCACTAACCACTGGGATTTCCGAGTTCGTTTCACTAGAATACTTTCAGTTGTCGCCTTATGTACTAATAATAACATCAATATGCAGTATTTTTCAACCTAAAAACGTGGATGTTGACTCAGAAATAATGGCGGGTAGTGAATGGCAACGGAATAAGTGGCTCGAACGCAGCTTCTAATCGAGTTAAAGAACATCGTAATATATACGGTTATACGACATTACGCTTCCATGTGAATTCTGTGCGGTCGATCTTCACGCGACATACTCAGTGGAAGACTCATAGAAAGCGGCTCTGAGGAAGGCGAAATCCGCCGAAACGTCAGCTTGTGCGTAAATAAAGAAATAAAATAGCACCTCGTGTTTGCTGAACAGAAGTAGAAAGATATACGGTTCTGTTTACAAGATGCAGGGTAACTTATTACGGCTGCTCAATATTTTTAGATCTGAAAAGGTGACTCCTTCAAAGGGATCTCTAAGCCTTTGTGGATCAGAGGGAGATTTACCACCATGCGACTTTGATACCAAGACGGTGGTGGGTCCTGGTACTGGTTCACTCTTATCTAGGCTTCCTGATGGAAGCACAGGACATCTTCTCAGCTTGGGAGACCCTGTCGGGGGACGAATCCCCCGTTGTACATCGCAGTCCGACGCCCAGGAACACCTCCCAGCCACGATGAGGCGGTAACCGTTGGGAGGAGTAGTGAATTAGCACTATTGAAACCACAATTTAGTAACCATCTGTTTTTGGTACAATTTTGGTCTAGCAAAGTGTTTAGCAGTTCATCCATCCAATTCGATGAACGTCGTCGTTTGACAGAGCGATAGGGAAATGAGTTGCTTCGCTGCATAGATGAAGTGGGTAGCAGATTTTGTTACGATGACCCTTTGCACGTCGTTCAGTTCGCATGGTCCGCAGCTTTTGGGTTTTTCACATCTCCACTTTCTTTTATATGATGAATGGTTGTTGAATGGTTAGTGGTTAGTTCTTCGGCAACATATCGAGTTTTTTCGAGACTCAGATTCGGTTATTGTCTTTACTTAGTTGTGGTGAAGTGCTACTGACTACCGGCTTGGTAAGATATGAAATCGCTTCCCCAGCCCTTGCTTTAGCGACATTTCAATTTGCTTCTACTGCGACCTCTTCAAGTTTGTAGTGATGAGGGAAAATTGTATGAATCTCTTGCTTTGAAAAACCAATGCAGAGTCAATGTAAATTAAGCGTGAAAAACCATTAGTTGGCCAATACTTTCACAGGAGAGTGGATTGTAAATGAAGTATACGAAAAGTCTTTCACTTTTCCTAAGATCTTGTTTTTACACGATTCAGAACCATATCATGCGGTTATCAGTATATCTTTCTTGGTTCCCTCGCATCTATTACATATTTCACGGTCTTCGGAGTCTGCACATGAGTTCAGCCGCTGCTTGAGGATCTTTGGTCTTCTCAGTGTTGTTGAATACTAATCGAGTCAACCTTTCATGGAATCCTAACTCAGTCATACTAAGACGTTCTTCATCAGAAGCAATGAGCAGTTTTTCTGGATGGAAAGTAGCTGATCTGAGGCAAACCTGGTAACAATTTCCCAATCTGGGAAAAATGTGGGGTTTGATTTTTGGGAACCAGAGTAGGGTTAGAGCCTACCGCACATTGAGCAGCACCAATACTGTCGCGCTGTGTGCGGCCGTTAAAAAAGATATTGCATGTCAAACAGTTACGGAAAAGTAGAGCTCAATGTCTGTTAAAGAATACGAGAAATGAATGAGTTCAGCCTATAGAAATTAGGAGGAAGGTGCAATTTTTAATACTATTTAGTCATTTTCTTCTTCAGCAATCGCGAGGTTTTTAAACACCATACATTTACTTCCATAGAGAAACACAATGCAATACAACACTGGCTGACGTTCCGGCAGTATCGCCTTCTTCAGAGCCTGGAAGGCTATACTGATATACAATCTACTAGGCCAAACGCTTCAATAACACTTACAAAAAGACGAAAGACTCTTTGGTAATTACACGTTCAACTTCTCGAAAAAACCCACCGCTTTTTCGTGACTTCCAATGAGGAAGTTTAGAACAGCTGATTATAGTCGCATGTGGTTGACGACTGCACCATCCCACATCAAAAATCGATGCGAACATACGGGGTCAGGTCGCGTGTGACCTCCGGGCATTCATCCCTGCTATTTATTGTAGGGTTTTTGGCATTGATCCAAAAAGCCTCAAGGAGTTTTCGCGTTGGTGTTTTGGACTCCTGTGCAAGGATATTGACTTTTACTTCAAAATCGTCTCCGCTATGCTTTTGTATCCTATGAGTGCCTAGTGGGGTGCTTCGTCTTAGTTTTCGTTTGCCATCTAGGTGTTCTTTTATACGGATACACAAAGGTCTGCCCGTTTCGCCAATATATTCATCTCNCCACCGCTTTTTCGTGACTTCCAATGAGGAAGTTTAGAACAGCTGATTATAGTCGCATGTGGTTGACGACTGCACCATCCCACATCAGAAATTGATGCGAACATGCGGGATCAGGTCGCGTATGACGTCCAGGCATTCGTCCCTGCTATTCATTGTAGGGTTTTAGGCATCTATCCAAAAAGCTTCAAGAAGTTTTCGCCCTGGTGTTTTAGTCTCCTGTGCAAGGATATTGACTTTTCCTTCAAAATTGTCTCCGCTATGCTTTTGTATCCTATGCGTGCCTAGTGGGGTACTTTGTCTTAGTTTTCGTTTGCCATCTAGGTGTTCTTTTATACGGATACACAAAGGTCTGCCCGTTTCGCCAATATATTCATCTCCACAATTATTACATGAGACCAGGTATATCGTACTTGAACTCATGCAATCACCGTCCCTGCCGGGCAAATTACGCAAAGGCGGTCATACAGGCGGTTACGAACTAATTGACGACGTAGAGTAGCCGGTGGTATTTCAACTATCGCTACCGATTCCTCTAGGCCTGCACTTCTTAAGCATCGTTTTATAGCTACGCTTACTTCATCGCTTATAAAAGGCAACATAAACGGGACTTTCTTTTGGCCAAGTGTTTCGCGTGGGCGCATCGCTCTCCTTCCAAACTTATCTCGTAAGGTTACTACTTCGTAGCCATTGGAGATTTTATTAGATCTAATGCCAAAATGACCTTACAACGAAAATTCGAAAATCTTTTGGGTAATTCACATTGACTAGATTCATTCATTCATTCATTCATTCATTCTAATTCATTCTAGATTGACTTCCAATGAGGAAGTTTAGAACAGCTGATTATAGTCACGCTGATCACGAAAAAAGCGGCTCTGAAGAAGGCGATACTGCCGAAACGTCAGCCAGTGTTGTATTGTATTGTGTTTTTCTATGGAGGTAAATTTATGTTGTTTAAAAACCTCGCGATTGCTGAAGAAGAAAACGACGCATTCAATAGAGATAATTCGCTTCCTCAATGCATTGTCACGTGCAACTGTAAATGGACGGCAATGGTTAATAATCTCTATGAAACTGGACAAAAATGAAGTATCGAATCTTCCTAAAGCTAAATTTAAGTCATAGGAATGCAGTGTTGGCTCCTTTGTGTTTTGCGATGAAATCGTGTTCTACAGCTTCTCAAATTACTGTGTAATCATTGTAAGAGAAAGTGCATCCTCACGAATTCGATTGGTTTTCACGAGAACGGAAATGTCAGAGACTGGTATTCTTCGATAAATTCATGAGAAGAAACAAGTTCTGTTAGAAGACAATTTGACAGCATGTCACGTCAGCAACACTGTAGGAGTTTAGATAGCTGGTGTACGAAACATTGCATCATTCAAAAACTCATCCAGCTTCTAGCGGTAACGATGTTTCCAAAAATTACTTGATAGGCGAACTCTTCAACCAGCAAGTGTTGAGGACGCTCCCAACAAGATGCTGAGATATGAGCAAAACTCGGAACGTCACTTGGGCTCGAACCCGCGACTTATCGTACTGCAACAAGAAAACTTTGTAGCGCTTTAGGCAAATCTTTATAGATTCTAGTAAGTTTATTACAATTAACAACATTTACTGTGAGCCGAGTCATGTTTATTTGAAGTTGAAAGCAGCCACAATTTCCTCTTTTCGTAACTCCCAAAGAGATCGTGTCGTCGCTTTAATGTGAAGCGTGTACTAACCGATTGAAACCATATCGCGGTATTTATAAAATGCCTGTCTAATGGATTTTTTCTATGATAGTTTCGTATGATTTTATTTAGACCTGCGAAAAACTATTATGCTTAACAACGCTGCACCTAAGAGAGAACGTCATGAATGGCTCAATGATTGCACAGCACCGCTCTGCGCACTACACGCCATTAACAAAGATTGTAGTCACAACTATATTTTCCGTTACTGGCCTGTTCACTACACACGTTTTCTACTCGAAGAAGCCTTCCACAAAGTACTCCGTCAAAATTTACGTTTCTGCTCATATTTCGGAAATCATCTAGTGCAATGGATAGAGGCGCGCTGCAATACACATTGGATCCAGTCGGCAATTCGATTCCTTTCTCATATTCCTCAAGCCTCTTTCCCCTTCGGCGTAGGAAAATTGATATGTGCTTCGAGGCTAGAAGCATTGACGTGTTATATCGGTAGGCCATCGCCACCGATTGTACAGGGCAGATATGCACTCG